TGCACAAAACGCAAGAAGGACAGTTAAAAGACGAACTCAGAGACACAAGACTAGAATCAGATCATGAAAGACCTTGAAGGAATGTTTAAAGGGTTTTTGCTTTTGAGCTGAGTGAAATGGGTACCAGTGAAGTGTGAATTACATGATCTAACTTATGTTAGATCAAGTGGACAATGGAAAAAGAGGTCAAAGGTAGAATCAAATGACCATTTCGGAGGCTACCATAAACAATCCAGGTGAGAGCTAAAAGTGACCTGGACCAGAGTTGTAGTAGTGTCTGGGATAAACAGCGGACTAGACTCTTGAAGAATAAGACTTTGGAATTTGATAGATTAAACAGAGGAGGCGAGAAAGAGGAGTCAAGATGACTCCATGATTTTGGCGGGAGCAACTAACAGAATGGAAGTTCCATTTACTAAATGAGAATGACAGTGGAAGGATTAGGTTTGGAAAGTGTAGGTGTATCTTAGACATGTTAAGAGTGAGATGTTTATTAGACATCCAAGTGGAGATATCAAATAGGGAGTTAGATACATAAGTCTAAAGTTCAGGGGGAAGGTCCAGGTTAAAGATAAAAATTTGGGAGTTGGAAATCACTATATACTTGATATTCTCAAGCACTCCTACCATAGAAAATAGTAAAGTACTTCTAAAAAATAGCTAACCACTATTAATAATTGTGCAGATCTAAATTAGTGGTCAGACAGATACATTTTATATCTATTCATTCATTCAACAATATTTATTAAATGACTACTTTGTGCCAGTTGCCATTCTGGGTGCTGTTCATGATTGAGAATAATATTATAATGCATACACAATCAAGTACTTTTAACTGTGCTTTAAAAAATTATAATTATTTTTTACAAACTTTTGTAGCATCTTTTCTACTTATTAGTAAAGGGGAAGTGAAATAAAATCAATGGAAAAAAGATATAAAGTACAAATACAAGATTTAGTTTTAGACATATTTATCAAAAGACTGTGAATATTTTCACAAATTAGTTTCACAAAACAGGTTTCTAGAGAGAAACTATAGCAATCCCACAATCATTCATACTTCCAAATGGCCTTTTGAAAACATAAACTGACTTGTTCCACTAAATTCCCTCCTCTATGCTTCATAGTAAAATCTTAAGCATTAAAAGAATTAAAAATCTAAACTATACTGCAGTTAGAGTGATAAAATAAAAGAATAAGAGAATATGCATCAGAGGCCCTTTGACAGTGGTCATTCAATATGCTTAACTATCCTAGGAAATAACCATAGAAACATATAACCTAAGTTTAAGGAAAACTTTTTAGGAAATCTAGTCCAAACACCCATCTAATTCCTGAATTTCATCTACAAAGTCTTCAAGAACTGGCTGACCTATTGCTGTTAAGGAGAGGAAAGGGTAACTTTTTTCTTTTTATAATAGTTCTCTTCTATCTTTGGAAAGCTCTGACTCTCAGGCAGTTTTTCCTTAACACTAAAGCTTAATTAAACATTTTTATCTGACCCTAGTTCAGGGTTTTGGATCAGTTAATTATCTGTTATGGGGAGCTGTCCTGTGCATCGTAGGATGTTTAGCAGCATCTCTGGCCTCCACCCACCAGATGATAGGAGTACTCCTTTCCGCGAGTTGTAACAACCAAAAATGTCTTCAGACATTGCCAATGTCCAATAAGGAGCAAAATCAACCCTCTAGTTGAGAACCACTGCCCTAGTTCTATCTGCTAGGACCAAATAACAGCACCACAACTAATATTTGAGCAGTTAGTACATGTCAGGCACAATACTGAGCACTTTACGTATATTTTCATTTAATCCTCAAAACCATTTTACAGCTGAGAAAATGAAGGCTGAGAAGCTAAGCAACTTACCTAAAATCCTAAAATTAAGTGGCAGGTCTGAGATGTGACCTAAGGAGTTCCATTTCAGAGCTCATGCTTTTAATCTCAAACAAGTTTGACTCAAACCACGTCTAATTTCTTTTACAAAGGATAACTCTTCACATATTTGAAACTGGCTCTTATTGTAAGATTCCTTAGTATCTACCAGAGCTGCCCCCTCAAAACCTCTAAATTCTCAGTTCTTTAAGGTGACAAAGCTTCCAACTTCTTCACATCCTTCCTTCTAAATATACACAGAACTAAAGACAATACTTTAGTGTGCAGCAGAGTTGCTCTAGCTTTCTTTCCTATTAATTACAATGATTTTTTAGCAGGGAGGGCAGGGGAGAAGATGGGATGATGGCAGCCATATTGCACTTTTGTTTTATATCAAGTTTACTGCCAACTACCACCCTCAGGTCTTTTCCATATGTGATGTTGTAAAGCCATGTTAACTTAACGTATGTTAGTGCTTTTCCAGTCTTATGTATACTCCTAACAAGTTCATTTAAATTTAGTCCAACAATCCAGACTCAGAGATCACTTTGGATCATTAAGCATATTATTTACTATACTTCTTCCTTCATCGTCACCTATAAATTTGATAATGTGCCTTCTCCAGATGAGCATAAGACAAAGAAAAGAACAAGGCCATCTTCTAAGATCATTAATCTTTGGATAGGGTCAGTCAAAATCAAAATTGTGTTGATTAATTAACACAATCAACTATGGTGAACTAATTTTTCCTTCACCTTACACCCAAGGATATAAAAAAAGACTTTACCAAAAACTGTAAGCCCAAATACATTATACTGCTACTAGTCTACCAATTGCATCAAAGAAAAATCAAAGTTCCTCTGACAATCTATTTTTAGCAAACCGATTCTGCATCATTTTTAAACTGTTTTTCTTCAAGTTACTCAAACTATCCTTTTCATTTTTTTGTTCTAAAATCTACCTTTTTTTCAAAAGCAGGCCTGGAATCCTCCATCTTTTAGGACTTTTTGTATTCTCCTAAAACCTTAAGACCACAAATAACATCAATAATTTTAAGATTTTATAGGCAGTTCTTTTTATAACTATAAGATGTTTCAACTGGCCCAGGAGACAACTCATTTAACCAGACGCATTTTTTATCTCTATACTCATGTTGGTTTTTATGGCCTTCCTAGCAATGTTTGCTTTGTGACTACTATCATTGCTGGTGGTGGGGGTGGCTCTTCCTCTTCAACAAAGAAGCTCCTAAATAAGAGGTGAGGGATTTTTTCTTCTCTCATTGCCATGAATTACACTTTCCTTGATTACCTTTTTAAATGTAATATAAGAAACCCTTTTGGTTGGTCTTAGCCTTTTTTCTAAAGTCTCAGCTTATCTGAGCTCTTGTTTTTCTCATTTTTTAAAAGATGTATTTTCTATACTTTATTATGGCAATCTTAGCCATTTGCTTTGTTTTAAAAGTAGTGTGCATATCTTTAAAGAATTCATTGTATAGTCACACTAAGGATCTTTTTCAGTCCAAAAAATATCAGAATTACATTTTTACTTAACTCCCTAAAACATTCTTCCTTTTAGAATAAATTTATACTGTGGAATCACGCTCATCTTTTCTCTGATCAAGAATAAGAAAAACTCAGTTTGGTGAAATAAACTACAAAATACATATACACAAAACACTATGCAGTTCTTAAGAATTATGCTATAGAAAACTAGTTCATGACATAGGAGATGTTCATGATTAAGGTTTTTTTTAAAGGGATGGGTTATGTAACAGCACACACAGTAATATCCCAAAATCATTTTTAAGTACATATGTGTGATTTTATACTTTTGCATATACAGAGAAAAAAACAGGCTATATGCAAAAATATTTAAAGTATTTTTCTTATGATCGTATAATAAGATATTTTTGTTTTCTTCTATGCTCTTTTCTGTATTTATCAAATGTATGTAATGAATATGTATCACTTTTACAATAACACAAGCATTATTATTTTAAAAGGATCAGCAGAACCAGAGGAAAATATTCCATAAAGTATAAGACAAAAAAGTCTAGCTTGAAATTTTTGCATTTATAAACTCTATTACTAAAACAATCTTAGAAAAACATTTCTGGACACCAAACCACAAAAAAAGCCAATACAAGATACCACTAGTTAGTCTAACTATATAAATAAGTCGTGACAACCATCAAGATAACTATTCAAACTTTTAGAAATTAAATGGGAGAAATCACAAGAACTTCCTGACATTTCAAGGAAAGGATATAATAAACTATTTAAATACATTAAAAATAAAATAATTTTAAAATGTTGTATAGCCCCCAAAATCCCTACAAAATGAAGGAGGAGTAGGATAGGGATAATGAAGACAAAAGAAAAAAACCATTAGTCAAAATGTTTAAAATTGGGCTAAAATTTCCTAATCAAGTAAGCAATGTCACCTGTTAAGATTTAAAATCTCATAGCAAGAACAATTACCTTTATTTAGAAATTTTGTCTGGTTGAAAATCAGTTTGCATTAACCCAAAAACTTATCTGGTTTACTCTCTATTTCAGTGCAGTATCCAGGCAATCTATTCAAAGTCTGTATTCTAAAAGCTTAGAAAGAAAGTCATTTTAACCAATTAAAACTTTATCATTCAAATACATTTGGTTCTATAAAATACTACTACATATAAGTGGTTCTACTAATCCTTAATTCATTCAAAAGGAAAAATACATTCACTTTCTTCTTTAGGAAATTATTTCAATTATTTCATTTCTTTACCTTGAATTTTATTTTCAAAGATATAAAAATATTATTTCAAAATTAATTTTTCCTTAAATAAATTTTTGTTATTTATAAAAAAAATACCAAATATAATGCATTCTCAAGTTACATGAAGATTCTACTAACACTTTAAAGGAAATAGAAAACAAAGCCTCAAACCCATGAAAACAATAAAAACACACTCCATTTATTTTAAATAATTTGCCTTTAAACTGACAAGACATACGATCTTTTACATCCAGACATGTAAAATGATTATAATGAAACAAAGGCCAAACATCTCTCTCAATCTCTCTCATATTTATATATGTATAGAATTATAACCCAATGATATCATGTAATAAATGAATACACACCTTACTTTAGTATATGCCAAGGTAGACACACAAAAACAAGAAAAAAATTTTGAAATCAGAGTATAAAGGGACTCTGCTTTTTCAAACAATGCAGCACTGAAAGCCAGGTCAGCATCCTTGGGCATTACTAGGAAACTTTAGCACATCTGATATTTCCATCATCTTCAAGATTCCTCTGAACAATCAGAAAATTTCCCAGTCTCCCCCTACCTCACCTGTCCACAGACTTCCTTTAGCTTTCATCCCTCAACTGTATAATAATGCTATTGCGGTTACTCAGGCTTTAAATGTTCAGAGATACAACCCCCTCTATATATTAATTCAGTCATTTTCTCACAGTCACTGACTCAGCCGTGGGTTGTGCAGCACTGACGTTTCTAACCAAACAGCATCGTGTGAGCTGTGATCGTCCTATTTCTCCATCTCTGTGCAGTGATTGGATATTGTAATTGATAGACAGGCTGAAGAAAACTCAGGAGATGAGGGCTTAGTGATATGTAGATATGTTAACAAATGCCATCTGTAAAGCTAATTCTAGCTCTGCCAGCCTGCCAGGTTTTAGAAAACCAGAATGCAGCTAACTTTCTTTTTTCTTTTCACTATTTTATTGTGTACTCATTCTGGGCAGTAAAGCTTCTCCTTCAAACCAAAGAGAAAATATTATTTGTACTTTAAGAATCCACTCAAGAACTATTCTTTAAAGCAACCAAACTTTTCCATTTCTAAACTGCTGGACTGACTTAAAAGAGAAACTGGAAAGCTCAATCTTCATGCAGGCTCAGAAGAAACGAGCATGCGTACTTCTATGTGGGAATGAAACCTTGCGGCAAAGTCTGATAGTGAATGTACAATGCATTTATCTTTAGTAACCTGAGCAGACTGCAGATCTGAGTTTTAAATAGTCATATTTGACCCAATTCAAATAGTCAAGAGATTTTAGAATATTGTCAATGTAGGCATTTTAACGTTAGTTATATAGAAAAGGTGTTATTTCTTTTTCCTTTTTAAATAGCAAAAACTCCTCTAATTTATAATTTAAAGAAAGTTCTCACAATTCAAGCCAAATATACTTCAACTGAAATGATCTTGAACCTCTCAGCAAGCTGCCAAATCCCTCTATACATGTATTAACTACACAACTACCCAAAGAAACAAAGCTCAGTAATTTTTCAACTATCTAATTCATTTGTATGCACTTGCAGAGGGATCATAGGCACATCATTCATGACCAGATTAGCTTCCCTCTCTTGTCATGTCTTTTATATCACAATGTTATACATATCAAATCCACATTCAAAAGAAAATATCTTAAAGGTGTATTAGATGGAAGAGAAACCATAAGGCAATGCCCACCAAACCTTCAATGGTAAGCACACATAAGAGAGTAACCATTATTGTTACTCTTATAATTAAAGAAATTTATTTTTATCTTTGCCAGTAAGGAAAAGGAGGGGGGAGGGGATCAAGGAAGAAGAATGAAAAAAACCAGGCTATTCCAAAATGTGACTAGAACAAACAAAAAAATTTAAACAAGACAACTTTTTAGGGGCCAGCCTGGTGGCATAGTGGTTAAGTTCACGTGCTCTGCTGTGGTGGCCCAGGGTTCACAGGTTCAGATCCCAGGTGCAGACTGCTCACTGCTCATCAAGCCACGCTGTGGAGGAATCCCACATAAAATAGAGGAAGATTGGCACAGATGTTAGCTCAGCAACAATCTTCCTCAAGCAAAAAGGAGGGAGATTGGCATCAGATGTTAGCTCAGGACTAATCCTCCTCACACACACACACAAAAAGACAAGACAACTTTTCAGATTATCTGCAAAAAGTGAATCAATGAAGTATGTTTATTTCTTACTGCTAAAGATTGAATGTTTGTGTCCCCCCAAAATTCATATGTTAAAATATATTCTCCCAATGTGATGGTATTGGAAATGAGGAGGTGATTAGGTCATGAGGGAAGAGTCATCACGAATGGATTCATCCTTTCATAAGAGACCCCAGAGAGATCCCTAGTCCCTTCCACCATGTAAGGACACAGCAAAAAAGAGGGTTCTCTGAACCAGGAAGCAAGACGATACCAGATATTGAATGTGCCAGCACCTTGATCCCCAGCCTCCCAAATCATGTGAAATAAATTTTTGTTGTTTATAAGCCACTGAGTATATGGTATTCTGTTATAGCAGCCAAACAGACTGAGACATTTACTTTTTATAAATTTAAATCCCCAACTGTTTTAGGTGGCAGTGTGCCCACCAGTATTTCTCAGCCTCCCTTATCCACAGATGACCACTTCTAGCCAATGATTTATAAGCAGATGCCTGCTGGAAATTTCCAAGAAATTTAATTTCCTGCTTTAAATGAAATTCTTTTCCCATTGTCCCCTTCTCTCTTCTTCCTCCTCCTTTCTGGAAGGTGGATATGATGGCTGGAGCTACAGTAAGCCATCTTGTGATCACGAGGAAGAGCCAAGAAAATCAGAGATTTTTGACCCTAACATCCTTAAGCCACTAAATCTATATCAGGTATTGCTTACCTGTGGACTTCTTATGTACAAGAAAAATAAACCCCTAACTTAAGCCAGTGTTTAGTCTGGTTTCTTTGCGTTTTTTTTTAAATTTTTTGGCGAGGAAGATTGGCCCTGAGCTAACATCTATTGCCAATCTTCCTCTTTTTGCTTGAAGAAGACTGTCACTGAGGTAACATCTGTGCCAATCTTCCTCTATTTTGTATGTGGGACACCACCACAGCAAGGCTTGATGAGTAGTGTGTCAGTTGCACCTGGGATCCAAACCCGTGAACCCCAGGTCACCAGAAGCAGAGCACTCAAACTTAACCTCTACGCCACCAGGCTTTTTATTTTTACTCAAACATCCCTAAAAAAAAATACACAAGATTCAAAAAATGATGAGAGTAGATAGAAGCATAGATGAAACAAAATTGGTCATGAGTTTAACTCAAAGCTGGGAATGGATAGGGGTTCATTATGCCTGTTCTCTCTACGTGTATTTAAAATGTACCATAATAAGTTATTTAAAATTTTAAAAATAAAAGAATGAGAAACTTGTTTATAAATCTTAGCTCTACCATTTACAAGTTTTTTGGCCTTGGGCAAGATTATTAACCTCAATTTTTCCATCTGTCAAATGGAAACAGTAAGCAACACTATTGAGAGCTCCACCTTCAGATCCAGTCAAGGTAATCTCCAGAAGGTCCCTGGCAGGATTGTCCTCCATCCAAAGGATTAGTTCAAGTCTCATTTTCACCTATTCAAACTGATATTGATTCCTTCTCTGAACTCTTATTTTACTACAACTTACTACCACAATTTAGTGTCTTCTTGTCCTCTAATTGTTCCATATAGGGATATTAAAGCATTCCATGATGGTACCCTGACAAACTTCTGAATCTCTCCTGAACTTAAGCACAGGTTTTCAATTACTTGCTGACTGTTAGTTTTTAAAATCTCTGTCAATTATTTACTATCAATTAAAAAAATACCATTTTTTAAAAGTCAAATTGTATCTTTTTTAAAAGTATCTTAAGTTATATGTTCCGAAGTAAACGTAAAAGTGTTTACTTTACTAAACTCCCCAAAAGTAAACGGTTTTCCTTTGGGCAGATTTTCCACAAATAAGGCTAAAATAAACTCACAGGATTTCATGGCATTTCCAGTAAAAAGAAAGAAAAATAAACGAACTTATTTTATATTTCTCTTAACATTTTTCACTTAAACAACCAATTCTGCTGCAGTCTACCTGAAAAGAGCGCCAAAAAGTTACTGATGCTATCGATACCAAGATGAGCCATGATATTTGTTATTGAAATGAAATAACAACAATGAAAAAAGTACTGCCAGTCTCTATAAATTTTTCCCATTGTATGCATGTAGCTTTTATAAAGCAAACAACAGCTTATTTCCACCCTGTCACCACTTCACATATATAATACAGTATTGTACATCAGCAGAAAAATATTAAGAATTAGGAAAAAGAACATAAAATGTACCTGAAAAGATGTATACAACATAGCAGATACAAATACAACCCCAAATTTAATGAGCTAAAACCAACATATCTTTAATCTCAAAGACAAAATAATTATCCATCTAAGCAGGATAGAGTAAAAGAACTAGAGCCACCTGGTGAAGGACACACACACACACACACACACACACACACACACACAAACGAACAAACCAACAAACACTTATACCACTGGTGTGTACTTATAAATTAATAAAGTCAACTTAACATTTTCATTCTACACCTCACCATATTAAAAGTCCACAATAAAGGCAGACATCTTGTCAGGAGACTTAAACGGTACTATTCATTCATATTTTCTAGCTATAGCATATAGTACCAAATTACCTTTAAAATGACAAAAGGATTTCAATATCATGGCATGTTTTTATTCTTTTTCAAGAAAGCTGGTATTAGTTACCAGTGATCAGGAGAATTTTACATTCAAGTAAGTTAAATGCTCAATAATATCCCCGAAGTAAATAATCATAAAGCACAAGACTCTATGAAAACATGCTTACATACCTGTAATGTGTGAGCTTTATGAGCTGCCAAATAACACCTTAAAATATCAGATCATAAAGTGTTCTAAATGAGGTGTTCTTCATTAAGTCACACAGCACAAAATGAAAGCTTTAATAATAGACAAATGGGCTGAAACTTTTGAAATGAATTTCATTTAACATATCAAACTTTAAATGAACCATAGAGTCATTCAGAATGACAATATAATATAAATTCAAAGAGTTAAAAAGGTATGGAGGCAAAGACTGACATAAGCCCACAAATTATCATGTATAGTCTACATACACAATGTATTTAGAGCACACAGTAAATTCCTATCAAAGAGTTTTAAATACAAAGAACTAACTTGTCTTGCCAGAGTTCCCAATTAAATTAATAACTGCATTTATTCACGGGGTCAACTAAGGAGATTTTAATATTATTTAGAAACAGAAACAAAAATTCAAATAAATATAAATATAAGAAAATTAAAAGGAAAGAAATGTTTCTCTAAAAGGTATTTAAGGAGAAACACAAACATTCATAATATTTTGTAAACCAGTCCCCATGCTCTGACCGGACTTGCCACAACCAAATGCAGTTTGATTCTGTATAAAAATCTATTTTATCAGAGCTGTGATACGTGAAATACATATTTTCTACCTACCTTGAATGTTTATAAAGTTTACGAGGTCTACTATGCAATTTCCGATCCCAATTCTCTGGATCACTGGAGTTACTGTCATAAGGATGAGGCCGTCCTGCCATCCCACTTCAAGCTTCCTCACACTACTGCTCTGAAAGCACACATGTAGCACCCATAACCTACATAAAAGAGTAGTGTTGACCTTTAAATCTATTCCATGCAGAATAAAACAGTCACAGAATTTTACATACTCTGATATTATTGTGACCTTTTTTTCTTTTGGTGAGGAAGATTGTCGCTGAGCCAACACCGTGCCAATCTTCCTCTATTTTGTACGTGGGACGCCACCACAGCATGGCTTGATGAGCGGTGTATAGGTCCACGCCCAGGATTCAAACCTGCAAACCCTGGACTGCCAAAGCAGAGCACACGAACTTAACCACTACACCACCGGGCCAGCTACATGACATATTTTTTTAATATGATGATGAACAGGATTATAAAATAGTAGACGTATAAATACCACAAATCAGATTAAAATAAACACCAGAAGTCCTTTTAGATACTTTTCATTTGATTCTTCTATTAAATTTGCTACCCCTATGCAACAGCTTTGTAACGTGCTATTTATATTTAGTAAATATACTTAACTGCCATCTGGGTACCTTATGTTTCCAAACAATATAGTACCAAAACAGGCAAAAACAATTCCACAGAATGACTCTTTCAGACAAAATTTTGCTTAGAATACATTTCTGAATTACTAAAAGTTTAAGATGCTTAACAAACCATCTAGTAAAACCAAATAACAATACTGCTATTTCTTTAACCAAGTTAAAGACCCTGAATAGAAATTTATTATTTGCTCAAAAATAAAAGTATGTAAACATCCTGATGTTTCCTGACAGTGGAATTACCACAAAAATTTTTATCAATACAATTCATATGCTTCATGCCTTTTCCTATGTGAAGCCTGTGACTGTTATTTCTACTATAGTCATATGAAATTATCAGAAAACTCACTTAGCAATAGCTCTACAGAACACCTGGACTAAGCACTTTAAAATATATTCCTATCCAATTTAATCTTCACAATCACCTTATAAGGATGGCATTATAATCCCTATATACAGTAGAAAACAGTCTTTAGTAACCTTGCCAAAGGTCACAATGCTGTTAAATGGCAGGATTATAAAGAACAATGAGAATTTATTATATAGAATAAAGTC